AGAGTCAAGAAAAATTATAAAACAAAAATAAGAAACCAAGGCAAGCACTTGTTTCCATGACCTACATCATGACACACAGTCGGCAACCAATTTCCTATTCAACCATCAGGTCCTTAGAAAGCCTTTCACTGGGCTCAGGAAATTAGAAAGCCAATCTGTTATTACTATGAAACTCTGAGTGATGGGGGAGAAGAATTAGGTTTTTAATCAAAAAGCAGCATTTGTGACCCAAGAGAAGTAGAGCATGAGTATGTGTCTAAATATTCCTGTCCTTGATATTCAGTGTAAAAACTACCAACATTTGATGTTTCATCCCTAAATGAAGTTACTATACTCTTATTGGAGAGCCCTCTCAACAAACTGGAAGTTGCAATTTTTTACCCTAAAGGCAACTATCAATCATACGTCATGCTATCCTGCCCTGGCTTAGCCCTCACTCAGCATCTCTTGGATAGAGACTTTGTGCTTACCTTTCCCATCTAGACTCCCAACTATTATCTTCAAAGGGAACTGAGTCTCTGTGCCCTCAGCCCTCAGCCCTCTGATCTCATGCAGGGTAGCTTTGTAGATCTCTGAGCTGAGGGGTCTCTAGGCTGACCCTATAGGCTGGCAGTCAAAGCACAGATGTTCAAGCGTAGGCCCCAGCCACAGGCTGATAACATGTAAGACAGCATCACAATGTGCTCCTGGGACACCCGAAAGATGTTTTTTGGAACTGGAACCAAACTCTTTGTGGAGCCTGGTGAGTTGATTTTTTTTTCTGTTTCTGTGGACAATTTGAGTCCTGGGACTGACATCCAGTTTACATTCCTAGTCCTAACTGAGTAAAATAATTTGCAATTAGGAGATGGAGTGTTGTAGATGTGAAGTGAGCCAGAGGGAAGATACTGAGAACTGAAGAAACTCTGTAACTACGCTTAATTTAAGTCTCTAAAGATTAAAATTACACTCCCTACTTATTTCTTAAATCATTAGGGTGACCCATGAAATACAGCAATCTGAAAGAGTTACACTAATATAGTATAATATAGATGATGCAAGGAACACAATGGCAGGGACACTTTGCCTCAAATTCCCCAGGAAGTTTCCTGATCTTTCTGTGCATTTTGGTTATGCTGACTGTCATACACACCTCCCGGCAAATCACAAATATCTTGAAGCCTGGAATCTTTGCAAACTGGTGGTCAGCCTGCTCACAGTAACTATGTAAAGCAGCCTTTCAAGGCTCAAGTTAAATCCCACATTATCAAAGAGTCTTGAGATTCTGAGTGACATTTATTTAGATGTCACAATTCTTAAGGGACCAGTTGGGTGCTCTTTGTGAATCTAAACCAGATGTTATCTTAGTTTATAAATTAAGAAAGAGTTGCTCAGAAAAGGTAAGCACTTCTTTTTGTATTGTTTACCCGAACATAATCTTGGCAGTGAATTAGTACTCATAAAAGAAGAAAGTTTGAATATAAAGTAACAATTGCCCAAACAAATGCAGTTGTAACACATGTTGAAATATAATTATATTCACGAAATGAGAAGACAGACTATTCTCAGGAGACAAACTTGAAATTGAAGTCTTATATTCACTTGTAGAAAACTTCAAACTTTGGCTTAAGGCAAATATAAAATAGATTAGAATACATATGGCAACTATATGTGCATTTTGAGAAAGGAGGAAAGAAAGAACAAAAGAATGAATGAATGAATGATTCCTTTTGGTTACCATGATGCCAAGCAATTGATTAAATAGAGCACTTTTTTTCAATGATTTTGAGCATATAGACTTCATTTAGAAAGAAGATCTGAGGGTCTGGGAAGGTGCTCAGTGGTAGAGCGCTTGCCTTGCATGCCTGAGGCCCTGGGTTTGAATCCTCAGCACCACATAAGCAAAAAGAAAAAAGCTGGAAGTGGCGCTGTGACTCAAGTGGTAGAGCATTAGCCTTGAGCTGAAGAGCTGAGGGACAGTGCCCAGGCCCAGAGTTCAGGCCCCACGACCGGACCCAAAAAAAAAAAAAAAAAAAAAGAAAAAGAAAGAAGATCTGAGAAAAATACTTTATAAAAACTATGTATTATACTTTCTGAAATGTTAATTAATGCATTCAGAGCTCAACATCCTAAGTGCACATTTCTTCAGACATGTGCTTTGTCAGTTAAATCATATTTTCAAATTATTGAAAACCAATTTCTCCAGCTCTAAGTGATCATTGACACTGCTTGATGAATTTAGATTTTAAAATCCCAAAGAAGTAGCCAGTAGTGGTAGCCCACAATTGTAACTTCAGCAATTGGGTAGCTAATGGAAAATCTGAAGCCTACTTGCCTACCTAAAGCAACTTTATCACAAAAATAGAAAGAAGGAAATCTTAATTGCCTTAATAAATCAGACAAAAAAAATGAGTCTTATCCTTAAATAACCAACTTTGCATTTGGTTCAGTTTGGTTGGTTGGTTTTGTTCTGTTCTGTTTTGTTATAGATAATTTTCTTTTGGACTCATAACTCCCTTGAAAATGAATCATAATACTTACCAAACCAAAGACAGGACCATGACCAAAAATTAGCACAATTCTGAAAGGAGGCTGAGGGAGCCAGGTTTGTGGTCTCCAGCCGTTAATGCGAGGGTTATCAGTTGCTGCTATCAACGGCTTTATCTATGCAAGAAAACAAACTAGAGGTTTTCTCACGCAAGCTGAAAATAGGTTCCAGGAAAAACCTTCAAAAAAAAATTTCAATACGCTTTCTTGTCTGTAACTAAAGTAAAGAAAGAAAGAATTTTTTTTAAATCAGATACTTAAGATTCTTGGGAGTACACGTCATGCCCTGAGTGATCAGAACAGAATTCAATCTTTTAGCTGAGCTTCTTGGCTAAGCAAAAATGGAGAATTACAATGGAGCATGGAGGGTGCTTCTCAGAACATCTTCTTCCCCAGGAAAGCCCTAATCAGCCACAGTCTATTTATAAACTGGCGATCAGTAGGATCTACCTGTCTAATAAACTCTCAACCAATTAGAACCAACAGATTTAGTTGTAACTCTGTTATCACTAGCCTCACAGCTGAACTTCAAACCCAGATTCAGAGTGAACATTAGAAAATCACTTCTTAGTCATGTGCTGCTGGCTCACACCCATAATCCTAGCTACTTACAAGGCTGAGCTCTGGAAGACCTCTTGTCAAAGCCAGCTCTGCAGAAAAGTCTGCCAGACTCTATCTCCAAATAACCAGCAAAATGCTGGACTAGAAGTGTGACTCAAGTGGTAGAACACCAGGCCCTAGATAAAGCCCTGATATATTGGCAAGCAAACAAGAAAGAAGTTGGGGGGAAAGGAAGGGGAGGAGAAAAAGAAGGAAAGAAGGTAAGGAGGAAGGAAGGAAGGAAGGAAGGAAGGAAGGAAGGATTGGTCATTTCTCTTCAGTTTATATATTTCCAAAACTTTCTGTTTAGTAATAATTAATGACTTGATTATAGACCACAGACGATAAAAGTACACTAGAATTTAACTTACTTTTCATTTGATATCAAGAAACTAAACTCTTCAAAGTTATAAATACTAAGAGCCATATTCACAGGAGCAATTAGTATTGAAACTCAGAAATAAATCTTAAGATTGGAAATATACACCGATGACATTCACAGATAAGTTGTCTTTCGTGATTCCAGGGACTAGCAAGGCTCTTTCTTTAGCAGTTACTTGAAGATGGCCTAAGAATTCGTCTCCATAGACACAAAACTTATCACAATCAGAATGTTCAATAAAGCACAGTGGGAAAGAGTCATTATTACCTTTCTCAGAGCTTCTTAGTTTTAAGGAAAGAAAAAGATGCATACTCAGAGTAGTAGAAACAGTAGACATGAAAGAAGAGAGAGCCAGTGGGAAACCCAATTAGTGGGACCAACATTTTACTGTTTTTCTTGAAATAAAACAAGAAATGGGCTTTAACTGGTTTATGTCTATAGGTACTTTCTAAGAATAATAGCTGTTATCCTCTGATTAAAGACTCAAAGGAAGAAGCACATGTTTGTAATCCCAGCACTTAGGAGGCTAAGTGACATCAGGATAAGCTTGTGAGTCACAGGTCAGCTTCAGTTTTATATTTAGGCCCCGTCTCAAAAATTTCCCCCTCCCACACCAAAATAAGAGATTCAACAAAAATTGTACACTCATTCAGTCCTTACAAAAGAATACCTATTTCCAAAAGATACAGGGATGTCCCACTTACCTTCAGCAGATTCACATAGCCCCAGAAATAGAAAAATGCCCTCCAGAGACTCCAGCACTGACAACCTCATGTCAGATCTTATCAGATCCTTGATTGTTCCAATGACACAGTCCATAGTACAAGCACCTTCAGAATCTCCCTCGAAGTGTGGAAGTGTTTAAAACAAACAAATTGGTGTAGACAGATACACAAGCCAACCTCAGTTGTTCAAATGATTGATGAATAAATCATAGATTGTTGAGACCCAGATAATCCAGAAACTTCTTTGTAGTTTTTATTTTCTATCTTTTGCTTCTGGCTATCTCCCTTACTAGGTCCTAATTACAAGTCTGACTAACTTCTCACCTTAGCCATACTTTCATGGAAATTCTAACAATCCCAGGGCACTATCAAGATGCAGGAAATGCCACATGCCAGTGACTCATACCTGTAATTCTAGCTACTCAGAAGGCTGAGAGCTGAGGATCAAGGTTCAAAGCTAGCCTAAGCAAGAAAGTCTATGAGACTCTTAATTCCAATTAACAAGTAAGAGTTGTGGTTCAAGTAATAGAGTGTCCCACTGAGAGAAAAAGCTAAGGGACACTGTCCAGGCACTGAGTTCAAGCATCACTACTGGCGCGCGCACACACACACACACACACACACACACACACACACAAATCCAAAAAAAACCCCACAAAGTTCTGAATTACAGGGTTGACTCTCTAAAAAGTGAAATAACCAACACTGTTTAATACCCATGAAGTTGTAAGTAAGTATTCCCTGAAACAAGTTGATTGTATTTGCAGGAATCCAGCCTCCTACCAAACCATCTGTTTTCATCATGAAAAATGGAACAAAAGTCGCTTGTTTGGTGAAGGATTTTTATCCCAAAAATGTACAGATACATCTTGAATCGTCCAAGAAGATAGCAGAATTTGACCCTGCTGTAGTCATCTCTCCCAGTGGGAAGTACAGTGCTATCAAGCTCGGTCAGTATGAAGATTCCAGTTCAGTGACATGTTCAGTTCAGCACAACAACAAAACCGTGCACTCCACTGACTTTGAATTGAAGACAAGTTCTTTGGGTAGGTACTGGCTTCAAAGCACTGGAAACTCTGGGGAAGGAAAGTTGGAGAAAGATAAGTAAACTCTGCCCTGAGATGTAAACTCTGGGCAGATCCTTTTCAATTTAGCATCATGCTGGGGTATGGGGTATGGGGTAAGGATGTAAGGTGTTTATCACTGAGAAGGACATGCTCTGTGTTCCTAGCTTTCTCTAAGATAAAGCTCTTCCCATATCATCCATCTCTCATCTTCTCCATCCACAGTTTCTCCATATAAATGACTGTCCTACATTCAAAGTTCATATACAATGGAATCCAGCAGTACATTTCAAAACAAAGGGCAGCCCATCCTTTCATAGGGATAAGAATTCTGGTTCTGGGGGCTGGGAAGGTGGCTCAGTGGTAGAGTGTTTGCCTATCAGGCAGAGGCCCTGGGTTCGATTCCTCAGCACCACACAAACAAAAAAAAAAAAAAAAAAGAATTCTGGTTCTGCCTATGTTTTACAACACGTCTGGATCTTGGTCTCCAGAAGAAAAAAAAAAGGTGGAAACATGACCATAATTAAGTTACACCCTCTGGTCCTCAATTTTATTTTTCCAAGTCTCCTCCAGATTTAAAGCCTTGAAATGCTAAGAATCTTAGCATTTCAAGAATTTTTTGTTGCTAGTGTAACTTTGATCACCCATGTTTGTTCCAGGTAATGTAAAACAAACAGAGATTGAAAACATGACCCAAACTTCAGAAAGCTGCCACAAATCAAGAGGTGGGTTCAAAATAAAGGGCCAACCACAAAATTAAGGGTTAAAGCAAACTTGGTAGTTGTCATCTGGGACCAAAATACATGAGGTTTTAGGAAAAAACAAAATGTATATTGAGCTTTCTACCTCTTATTGTCCCAGCAGAGAATGCCTGGCCACAAGCTTGAGTTTCCAAAGCTTGTCAGGCTGGGTACAAACAGCAGCCTGAGAAGCCTGAGTGCTGTCTGGCACCAAGCTGGGCATGTGGACCAAGAAGAACCGGGGTGATTTGGGGCAGACTTCAACAAGGGTTATTGACATTGGAGAAAGGAATTCTCTGAAGCCACATGTTCATTTTATTCAATTACAGTTCACACAGAGAAGGTGAACATGATGTCACTCACAGTGCTGGGACTACGAATGTTGCTTGCCAAGAGTGTTGCTGTCAATTTTGTCTTGACAGCTAAATTATTTTTCTTTTAAGGTAAGAATTAGCTACTTATTCTCACTTCCACACAAATTATACTATATGTGGGGTTTAAGAATGGCAGTAGATCAGACTAGGTGCTGGTGGCTCACATCTGTAATCCTAGCTATTCAAAAAGCTGAGATTTAAAGCCATCCAGAGTAGAAAAGTCTGAGAAACTGCACCTCCAATTAACCAGAAAAATGCTGGGCTGGAGGCATGGCTCAAGTGGTAGAGTGCCAGCTGAGCAAGCAAAGCCAAATAAGTGAGGAGCTGAGTTGAAACCCTAGTACCAACAAAAGCCTTCTTTTGGATAGGAGGGAGGGAAAGAGTGAGGAACAGAAGGAAGGGAGGAAGGAAGGAAAGAGGGAGGGAGGGAGGGAGGGAAGGAAGGAAGGAAGGAAGGAAGGAAGGAAGGAAGGAAGGATGGAAGGAAGGAAGGAAGGAAGGAAGGAGGGAAGGAGGGAATGGAGGGGAGGGAGGGAGGGAGGGAGGGAGGGCTATAGACCAAGAAACACTGGTGAGAAAAAAAAATAGAGACAAAGACATACTGAAACCAAGGTGAACTGTCTCAGACACTCAACATCTCATCTCTTGTTATTCTTTTATTTAAAATCATACTGGATGTCCAATACATACCCTAAAGTATTCTTTTTCTAATACATCAGCCAATAACCACCACATCCACCTACAAGGAGCAAATTAAAGCTAAGTATGAAAAATTGCTTCTTTGATTGCTATTTTAACCTGGCGTGGTGGCATACTTGTAATCTCAGCTACTTGGGAGACAGAGACAGAGGGATCATGAATTTGAAGCTAGGCCAGGAAAAGGTTAGTGAGATTCTGTATCAAAAGCAAAATACAAGCAAAAGAACATGAGGCATATCTTAACTACTTAAGGTGCTTGCCTAATAAGCATGAAGCTGTGGGTTCAATCTCTAGTATCACAAAAACTAACAAACAAATAAACAAACCTACTATTTTATTTGGCCAAGGGGACATAGTTATTTGCAAAGCTTTAAGTAAAACTTTGCCCAAAGAATATTAGAGGAAGTAAAACTTGCCTTTTCCCAGATTAAGAAAATGTCAGCTCTCCCTCCTTAATCATGAGACTCTAATACATAGACCAACCTGCACTGGGGATGAACCTACATCTCCACTAGTACTGAACACCCCACTGTTAGCTACTCAGGATACATACAAAGTTGGAGCTGTTACTTTCATTAGACTGTGAGATAATCTTTTATCTAGAATTCAAACCAGGGCCTAGGTTTGCCTATAAAGCTCCTCTTCCTGTTCCTCTCCAATACCCCCAAATATTCCATCAGTCTCAGTTGCTGTTCCAGGGGCAGCCATAGATTTGGAGTCTGGCCCAGATTATGAACATGCTCAGTTCAGTTGGCCAATAAAATAATAATTAAGCAATTTGGTTATGGTAATGTAGTGGCTGTGTCACTAACTCACTACATTACCTTAACCAAGTTGCTTTTGGGACTGGTTTTAAGAATGAGTAAAAGAGAGCAAATGTGTTTCATGACATTGACAGACTATAGGACTAGCTGGATAATATGTGCCAATAAAATAATAATTAAGGGGCTGGGAAGGTGTCTCAGTGGTAGAGCGTTTGCCTCACATGCATGAGGCCCTGGGTTCGATTCCTCAGCACCACATAAGCAGGAAAAAAAAAGCCGGAAGTGGCGCTGTGGCTCAAGTGGTAGAGCGCTAGCCTTGAGCTGAAGAGCTGAGGGACAGCACCCAGGCCCAGAGTTCAGGCCCCACGACTGGACCCAAAAAAATAATAATAATAATTAAGCAATTTGGTTATGGTAATGTAGTAGCTGTGTCACTAACTCACTACATTACCTTAACCAAGTTGCTTTTGGGACTGGTTTTAAGAATGAGTACAAGAGAGCAAATGTGTTTCATGACATTGACAGACTATAGGACTAGCTGGATACTATGTGCAGAGTGGCACGTTCCAAATTGATTAGTAATGTCTGCAGTGGTACAGCATAGCAAGTACCAGCCAACCACAGACAATAACCTTTGCAACTTCTTCCAACATTTATAGCCCGTTATTCTATAATAACTCTCCTTCACTTGCAGGCTGACTGGCATGAGGAGGATATACAACCTGAAAAAAAACAAAAGCTTATGAAGATGCTATATGCTAGACTTCAGACTTCTTGGTGATTCAAATTGACCTGTCATAGCCTTACTTAAATTTAAACCAGTTTTTTTAAAGCAACAAACCCAGTTCAACCTCTAGTCTTTTACCAAAGTAAAAACCTTAGGAAATGGGAGTTTATGATCAAACATGATACGCTACTTTATAAAGGGCTAGAGAGATATATAAATATAGCTCTATTGTATTAATTCCTATAGCATATATTTGGAAAACAATGTTTCATTCCCCTCTACTTTTGTTTTTCTCTTTTTTGCTTTCTCTTTATTCTAAAGAGATTCTAAAGTTTAAGTAGGGCCTTGGGCTTGCTAGACAGGTGCTCTACCATAGCCAAGCTATTGGTTGAGACAAATGTCTCCCCAACTTTTTGCCCTAAGTGGCTTCAAATCAAAATCCTCCCTATCTCAGCCTCCCAAGTAGCTAGGATTAAAGCTCTGAGCCACACAGCTGACTCCCTTTCTTTATCTCCAGAAATAGGAAGCAGGAAACAGTAGGTTCCCAGCACCATTCTCCATGAAGAAAATAGTCTCTAAGAGAAGGAGAGCAACCATCCTTGTTTCTAAATATGGAAGGCTCTGTTCCACCTAGCCTCGGCTGCCAGGCCAGCGTCCTGGATGAAGGACTCTATTGCACAGAGCACTAAGCTGCAAGGCCAGGTCTACATCCTCCCCTGCTGTGACTTGGTTTGCCCTCCACATTGCTCTAGAAGCCACACCAGAGATTTTTCATGGCAGCACTGGGGCAGAAGATAATTAGAGGGCTTTCTGGTTTTCTTAGTACTTCTCAAACAAAATTACATTTGGCTTCCCCAATCCTCTTCATTCAGGCAAAGGAGTTGCTTGTTTGCTTGCTCACGTGTTTTCTTGCTTTTTTATTATTTAGTATACTTTAGTCTTACAAAGGAGATTTCATTCATCCATCATGTATGAAATATATCTGAATCAACCCCACCCCTCCATACTCTCCCCCCAGCCTACCATCCCCTTGCCCTCTGGTTGGTCCCCTCCCTCCCCATCTAAACAAGTTTGTTTTGCTTTCCTCTTTTTCTTTTTCAGTGTATATTAATTACACCAAGAGTCAATGAGGTTTCTAAAATTTGATCCAAATACTGTCCACTCTGCTAGCCAAAATGATAGTTAAATTCAGAGGTAAAGCATGGCACCTCTTCCTGTGGATTGACTTCATGTTCATGAACTGACTTCCTCTCAGCCCCTGGCACTACACTGGGGGTGCACAGATGTAAGACAAGGGCCCTGTTTTCCAGCAATTTTCTTCCCTTCTGGAGGGAGGGATAGGAATGACCTCTATCTTTCCCTGTAACAATAAAATCTTTATTGCTTTGCTACCAGTCTGTGCACAGGAAGTTTGAGATCACTGGATAGGATTCATTTGCCCTTGGCCTCTGGTGTTGGTGGTCTCTGCCTTTCTTTTCAGTGCCTACCTGAGTTGCATTTATTAAACTGTATCTAATGCACCTTGTCTCTGGCTTTATTCATTGCAGACTAACAGAGGCAGGGGGTTTCTGCTCTGTAACTCAATGTTAGCAAGAAGTCAAACTGAGTTGATAGGTCACACCTCAGCCCCTTGTGCCCCCAGCCTGAGGCTCCTGCCTGGGAGCCACAGCCCTGCTGCTGTTACCACTCAGTGCAACCCTGAGTCCTCCCACTCCCACCTCACCTAGGCCGCTGCCTTTACCAAGTGCACAGTGAAGGTAGCAGGCCCTGGTGAGTCTCACTGGTGTTCCCTCAGCTTCTGTGTGAAGTGTTGAGCTATGAGGTGAAAAGGGAAGGAGCCACCACCTCCCCCCCCACAACCTGCCACCACCTACCTCTGCCACCTCTCCCATCACTACTTCCCCCTCTCAGCACCCTCACCTGCCTGTCACCACCTCCCCTGCCATTGCCTACACACACACACACACACACACACACACACACACACACACCTCTGCCTGCTATCATCTCCCTCTTTGCCACCACTCCCTCCTGCCACCATCTTCCCCAGCCGCTGCCTTCCCCTGCCTGCCATCTCCTCCCTCTGTACCACTTCTTCCTGCCATCTCTCCAGGCACCTCCTCCTGACATCACCAACTACAAAGTCCTACACCACACCATTACCACCCAAACCAAAGGAGATAGTGACATTGATTCCATGCATTCAGGATAATGCAGATGGACAAGCCAGTTCCATGGAGAAAAACAAAAAAATTCCACACAAGTCCACCCTGTATGTGTAGTTTCCAAGACATTTACTTTGGTTAACTTGTTGTCACATTGCAATGTTACTCTAAAATTATTAGGAATTTAAAAAGCATCCTTTTTTTTCATTCATCCCCTTATAAAAACATTCATCCCCTTAAAAAAAATAGATTCATGTCCAAAGCGACTTGGTGAGGCAAAAGACATTACCAGGAGCAGAACCAAGGTCTCAGCACTATCAGCCCATAGTGCCCACTACATGAGCCTAAGACAGTCCCCAAACGAAGACAAGGCACTCACTCATCTTAATACCAGCCAGACTGAACTTCAGGCTTGACCTCTAACAGCAATAACCAAGACACAGACTGACCCACTTCACCAGGAAAAAAAATCCTAGCACAGAGACAGGACCATGAATTTCTTGCACTGAAGAAGATTACAGAAAAGATTTAAAGAAGGAGCTGAGGGGATTTAGCTGCTTTCAGAGGTACAGCCATTACCTGTGACATACTCAGAGCCCCAGGAGGCTGGGCTACTTGCCCAAGGCCAGTGACTCCCTCGCCCCATGATTTTTCCATTGCTCCATACAGTGGCTACTCCTCCCACTGTTCGGGAAGTACAATTCAACTGCTGCCCAGAATGCCTCCTGACAAAGCCTCCTAGACTGCAGCCACAGCAGACAGCCTTGAAGTATAACTTTTCTCTCCAGTCTGGCTTCAAAACTCAATCCTCAAATATCAGCCTCTAGAGCAGCTAGGATTACAGGCATGAGCCACCTGCTGTCTGAGAACTCTTATGATTCTTTTAAGATACAAAAATAAATAGAAGTAGAAAAAAGAGAGAATGAGTCTCAGAGATTAAAGATAGGTTTACTTCAATATCACATAGTCAGTTTCCCCTGGAGGAAGTGGTCACCTCTGGATTGACTACTGAACTCCAAGCCTTGGAAACTGGGGTTTCTTAGATTCATAATTGTATTAGAATAACTTATCCTTGGGCTGGGAAGGTGGCTCAGTGGTAGAGCGCTTGCCTTGCATTCATGAGGCCCTGGGTTCGATTCCTCAGCACCACATAAGCAAAAAGAAAAAAGCTGGAAGTGGTGCTGTGACTCAAGTGGTAGAGCGCTAGCCTTGAGCTGAAGAGCTGAGGCTACAGCACCCAAGCCCAGAGTTCAGGCCCCATGACCGACCCAAAAAAAAAAAAGAAGAACTTGTCCTTTTTCATTTTTTTTTTCTTTTTTCTTTTGTTGGTTGTGAGGCTTGAACTCAGGGCCTAGGTACTATCCCTGACCTTTTTGTTCAAGGCTAGTGCTTTACCACTTGAGCCATGGTGCCACTTCTGCTTTTTGAGTAGTTATTTGGAGATAAGAGTCTCATAGGGACTTTTCTGCCCAGGCCATCTTTGAACTATGATCCTCAGATCTCAGCCTCCTAAGTAGCTAGGATGACAGGCGTGAGCCACCAGTACCTGGTTCAATGTTCTTTAGGGAAGGAAAAGTGTTTCCCCAACTAAGTAACATGGAAGTATCAGAGAACATTCAGGAGAATTAAGGTGCTAGACATAAGATGCAGAAAGAAGATAAATTTGGAGGTGGGGGAGATTAAATTAGCTTTGTGCCAATTTGATTCTTAAAATGAAAACAGAACAATTCACCACAATGAACAAGCGATGTTGGAGGTTAAAATAAAGATGTTACTGATGGCAGATTGAATTGCCTTCTGCATCATTCTGGTATCCTCATAGCAAAGCAGCACAGACTTGGAGACTCAAAGACAAGCCTGCAGCTCTTCCATGCCAACCACATGACACTCAGTGGAAAGGTCTCACTGAGTGAGAGGAAGAACGTGTTCTCCTCCTGAGAAACCAGAGTTCTCCTGGATATAACCGTATCTGTTGATTAGTGAGCAGTTCTGGGAGGACACTTCCTGAGACCAAGCTGGGACACAGAGTTACTAAGAGAAGGTTGTCAGATCCGGCATATGGCCTTCTCTGGGAGGAGGCTGGCTCTGCTGTGCTCTGAGGGTTTATGTGCAGATTCCCTGGGCACCTGCATCATAGTGGATTCCAAAAACACAATAGTAAGTGGCACTGTCTTCAGTCCTCACCGGGGAGATCACCAGGTGGAAGGTTTTATGAGTTTGACTTGCCTCACAGAAAATCGTCCTTCATTGAAATCTGCATAATGAGATAGGGAGTTATCCCTGTAAAGGATGAACTAAAAGGACTGATCTGCCCTTTTGCGGTACCAATATAAAGCCAGGTCTGCATCTGTAGCATTGTAAGTGCAGAACAATGTTATCTTGCTGTCACTTATCACCGTCTGGTCCAGAGAACTCTGAGTCACTTGGTTACACAGCATGCCCTTGTCTGTGAAGAGGAGAAATGAGACAATGGTAAATTTTTCACTCCCCATGTACTGAGTCCAGCACAAGCCTACACAGAGGAACTCAGTGGGGAGAGACAAGAGAAGGACACAGAAAGCCAAAGGCAGAGAACAACTGAAACGTAGGTGTTCAAGAGAAAGAGGCTGAACCTTGAAGAGTCAGGGAAAGAGACAAAGGGTATAGAACAAGAGAAAGGAATGCACTCACACAAAAAAAGGCTGAAGCCCACAATAAGAATCATCTTCTTTCCAAATTGAGGCAAAGGATATAAAATAAATCAGGGTTCTGAAATCTCTGAGACCACCTGGGGACTTTTGACAGGAAAGACATGTGAAGGAAAGGAAGGGAGGAAGACGGGCAGCCCCAACAGTCATGTGACTGATTGAGCCATGACTCTGAGGTAAATGCACCAAAGAAATCATCATTTTCACGATAATGTTGGTCTTCAATCTTTTTCGGGGCTTCCAACTTGTAAAGTAGGCATTCTACCACTTAAGCCACACCTGCGTCCCCTCTTTGCATTGGTTATTTTTGAATGAGGTAAGGTCTTGCTTTATGCCCAGGCTGGCCTGGGCTTCAGTCCTCCTATGTGTGCTTTTCCTGTGTCACTGAGGATGACAGGCATGGCCCACTGTGCCAAGCCATTGTGACTTGTGGGATAATAGACATGTACCACTATTCCCAGCCACAGAGTGAGATGGAGCCTCATGAAATATTAAACAGATAGATGAATATTGTTCCTAAAGCATTATTCTCACCAAAGCTACTCAGCGGAAAGATACTGAGTACATAAAAAATAAGCCAGGCACTGGGTTCATGCTTGTAATCCTAGCTGCTGAGGAAGCTGAGATCTGTGGATTAAAATTTGAAGTGAGCTCAAGCGGACAAATCTGAGAGACATTCATCTACAAATAACCAGCAAAAAGCCAGAAGTAGAAGTATGACTCCAGTGGTAAAGTGCCAGCTTTGAGTGAAAATGCTAAGGTACAGCAGACCCTGAGTCAAGCCCAGTATAAGCACAAAATAATACTAACAATATTAATAATAACAGTTATATAAAGTTAGCAGGGTGCCAGTGACTCAGGCCTATAATCCTAGCTACTCAGGAGGCTGAGATGTAAGGATAGAAGTTCAAAGCCAGCCTGAGCAGGAAAGTCTGTGAGACTCTTATCTCCAATTAATCACCATAAAGTTAGAAATAGAGGTATGGCTCAAGTGGTAGAGCACTAGCCTTGATGGAAAAAGCTGAGGGACAGAGCCCAGACTCTGAGTTCAAGCCCAGGACTGACATGCGCGTGTGCGCACATGCACACACACACACACACACACACACACACACACACACACTCTTAATAAAGTCAATAGGGGATTAAGGAAATAAAGGGGATGTCCTTGTTCAAAGTATACTGTATAGATATATGAACTGGCACATGAATAGTACCCTTGTAGTATTAATGTATGCTTTTAAAAAGTAAGCTTAAAAATGCCATGAAATTTGGGAACAGACATGTTGTATTGGTTAATGATTTTTTTTTGGTCTGGTCGTAGGGCCTGAACTCTGGGCCTGGGCGCTGTCCCTCAGCTGTTCAGCTCAAGGCCAGCGCTCTACCACTTGAGCCACAGCACCACTTCCAGCTTTTTTTTTTCTTTTTCTGCTTATGTGGTGCTGAGGAATCGAACCCAGGGCCTCATGCATGTAAGGCAAGCGCTCTACCACTGAGCCACCTTCCCAGCCCTGGTTAATGATTTTTTAAGTAAAAATAAAAATAAAAAAGACTGCATCTTTAATTTGCTGTCAGTGCTGCAAGCACATTGTCATTTAGTCCTGTGCTCCTGGGAGACCTGAGCCAGCTGTG